CCCTCCCACGAACACACAAATAAATATACAGATAGCACACACACATACAGGCCCCCCACACACATGCACATACACACACACACACACACACACACACACATGCACACACACCCCACATACATGCACATACCTCACACACACACATGCACACACCCCCCCCACACATGCACATCCCCCCCACACCCATGCACATCCCCCCCACACCCATGCACATCCCCCCCACACCCATGCACATCCCCCCCACACCCATGCACATCCCCCCCACACCCATGCACATCCCCCCCACACCCATGCACATCCCCCCCACACCCATGCACATCCCCCCCACACCCATGCACATCCCCCCCACACCCATGCACATCCCCCCCACACCCATGCACATCCCCCCCACACCCATGCACATCCCCCCCACACCCATGCACATCCCCCCCACACCCATGCACATCCCCCCCACACCCATGCACATCCCCCCCACACCCATGCACATCCCCCCCACACCCATGCACATCCCCCCCACACCCATGCACATCCCCCCCACACCCATGCACATCCCCCCCACACCCATGCACATCCCCCCCACACCCATGCACATCCCCCCCACACCCATGCACATCCCCCCCACACCCATGCACATCCCCCCCACACCCATGCACATCCCCCCCACACCCATGCACATCCCCCCCACACCCATGCACATCCCCCCCACACCCATGCACATCCCCCCCACACCCATGCACATCCCCCCCACACCCATGCACATCCCCCCCACACCCATGCACATCCCCCCCACACCCATGCACATCCCCCCCACACCCATGCACATCCCCCCCACACCCATGCACATCCCCCCCACACCCATGCACATCCCCCCCACACCCATGCACATCCCCCCCACACCCATGCACATCCCCCCCACACCCATGCACATCCCCCCCACACCCATGCACATCCCCCCCACACCCATGCACATCCCCCCCACACCCATGCACATCCCCCCCACACCCATGCACATCCCCCCCACACCCATGCACATCCCCCCCACACCCATGCACATCCCCCCCACACCCATGCACATCCCCCCCACACCCATGCACATCCCCCCCACACCCATGCACATCCCCCCCACACCCATGCACATCCCCCCCACACCCATGCACATCCCCCCCACACCCATGCACATCCCCCCCACACCCATGCACATCCCCCCCACACCCATGCACATCCCCCCCACACCCATGCACATCCCCCCCACACCCATGCACATCCCCCCCACACCCATGCACATCCCCCCCACACCCATGCACATCCCCCCCACACCCATGCACATCCCCCCCACACCCATGCACATCCCCCCCACACCCATGCACATCCCCCCCACACCCATGCACATCCCCCCCACACCCATGCACATCCCCCCCACACCCATGCACATCCCCCCCACACCCATGCACATCCCCCCCACACCCATGCACATCCCCCCCACACCCATGCACATCCCCCCCACACCCATGCACATCCCCCCCACACCCATGCACATCCCCCCCACACCCATGCACATCCCCCCCACACCCATGCACATCCCCCCCACACCCATGCACATCCCCCCCACACCCATGCACATCCCCCCCACACCCATGCACATCCCCCCCACACCCATGCACATCCCCCCCACACCCATGCACATCCCCCCCACACCCATGCACATCCCCCCCACACCCATGCACATCCCCCCCACACCCATGCACATCCCCCCCACACCCATGCACATCCCCCCCACACCCATGCACATCCCCCCCACACCCATGCACATCCCCCCCACACCCATGCACATCCCCCCCACACCCATGCACATCCCCCCCACACCCATGCACATCCCCCCCACACCCATGCACATCCCCCCCACACCCATGCACATCCCCCCCACACCCATGCACATCCCCCCCACACCCATGCACATCCCCCCCACACCCATGCACATCCCCCCCACACCCATGCACATCCCCCCCACACCCATGCACATCCCCCCCACACCCATGCACATCCCCCCCACACCCATGCACATCCCCCCCACACCCATGCACATCCCCCCCACACCCATGCACATCCCCCCCACACCCATGCACATCCCCCCCACACCCATGCACATCCCCCCCACACCCATGCACATCCCCCCCACACCCATGCACATCCCCCCCACACCCATGCACATCCCCCCCACACCCATGCACATCCCCCCCACACCCATGCAC